CTCTGTCTCTCTTCCACAGCATGTCTTTATCCTGTCTTCCTTCTCTCACCCCAACTATTAATAATAACTAATGATTAAACACAGAGTGGTGTATAAACACACAGTGAGTGAAGGACAAACATAGAAAAAGGAAAATAACCTGGACCTATAGCGTATCAGCGTAACTCAGGGAGGATTCAGGGTCACCTGATCCAGCCCTAATGATGCTTTATAGGCTTTATCAGCCTAATTTTAAAAGTAGATATTGTGTCTTCGCTAATGCTGAAAGTAAGCAGGCATGACCGTAATAGTTGGTCGTTTGTTTGGAAAGCTAGCGCATAGATGGCAACAATTACAATAGTTGTACATCACCGAAAATTGGAGAAGTACACTTTGAGTACGAGTGACCCTAACATCTCAAGGTCTGAACCAGACCGACCAAGTCAAGATCAAGTTCAACCTGAATCACAAGGCACACTCAAACACTGCTTTAGTGGTAAGTAAGTAAAACTTGGTTTCTATAGCGCCTTTCAGGATAAACCTCACAACACTTCACAACAATATAACAGGGAAGGAAAATGATGATGAGTGCGGAGTCCACAGATCTGAAACTCATAGAATAAGGCAGGTTAGCCTTCTTAGACTGTGAGGTTTCCATCAGTAATGGAGGACATCTAAAAGCTGACGTGTACCGTAAACCTACACATATGGATTTGATGTTTTTTTCTCATTTGAATATTTATTATCACTCAATAATCAGACGAAAGCATTTCTTATCCGATTACTCGATTACTTGACGGGATAATTGATCCTGAATCGACAGCCCTACTTTTAGCTGATGTGAAATTTGCCAATAACAGTCATCGCATTTCCACTTAGCACCTTAACACACAGACAACTTCAGATAGAGTTTCACGTTGATCGTGTGCACGTACCCGGCCAGTAGTACATGAAAACCTTCCTTCCCAGCTTCTGCAAGGTGACCCACAGTGGTTCTGACCCGTCCCACCAAATTGGCAACCGGCTGTCAGGATTGGTCCCAATTAGGAATTCTTTCTTGGAGACTTCATCCCACATGTAGTTTCCAGTCATCTGATGAATATCACAATGACGGCCTAATAACAAGAACAATAATAATAAAAAGTAACATTACACTGTGTGCAAGACAAAGGTTGCCCCACAGTCAGAGCACATTTGTAAATCATTATTAAACCCATAAAAACCTGTTTATATGATAGTTCTGCTGCCTGGAGCAAAGCCAGAGAACCCACAGAGGAACCTGCGGGGTTCTCTACTTCCTGTGTTACAGTGAACATCCTGTGCTCAGGCAACAATCTGGATTAGCTCACAGAGCCACAGGAAACACATGTGCACATTACCGGCTGCAATACTGAAATATTTTCTCCCCAAAAAACTTTAAATAAAAACATCAGGTAAAAATTATCTAATGAAATCAAACATTTTCAGAATAGTTTCACCTCAGTGTCCCAGTACCTCCAATTACAAAGATGGGCCGCCGTGCATCAGCCCTGCAAACACCGACAGCAGCTCATTGGTTCATTTTCATTATTCACACTGGATTGTCCAATCAAATCTCTTAATGCCACTAGCCCCGCCTCTACCTTTACTGCGCTTCCCTCGAATCACACGTGACTGCATGTCCAGCCGTACCCTGAACACACTCACAACCTTCTTCCTCTCCCAGACGCTCCTTGATATCCAGTCATGTTCAGCTCAGATTCTTTTATCTCCACACAAACTTCACCTTTTTAAATAAACAGCTTAACCTGTAATCATGACAGGACAATCTGGCCCTCTGGACCCAGACCTGACCTACTTCTGTGACCTGTTAAGAGGTCGTGTCAGGTGAACACAAGTCTTCGGGCCCCTGGTTCAGCAACTAATAATAATATTAATGACTTAGATGTGTATGTGTATTTATCTTTCAACAAACCCAAAGATGCTTCACAACAGTGTAAATAAACAAAAACAAGGCTAAAGGTTCGAGGTTTCATTGAAGACTTGAGTTTTGAGAAGTTTCAGTGACGGGGCTCATATGAGGGTGAGGGGCCGCCACACTGAAGGCTCTGTCCCCACAGGGATGGAGGTGACCCACAGCTGAGGATGCAGCGAGACTGTGTGTGTGGGTGCAGCAGAGGTACTGAGGGGTCAGGGCATTGAGTAATGCAGGACTTGAGCAGGAGATGGTGGAGATCTCTGAGGGTGGCGACGATGTTTCCAGAGCTTAGTGCCTGATAGAAGCCTGGAGGAGCTCTGGACATGCTGGAGCTGCTCCATCATAGTTATCAAGCCAGGTGGTGACCAGGGCACGGATGAAGGTTTCTGCTGCAGTTAGTGAGTGATGGCTGAAGTCGAGAGATGTTTCTTCATCATCATCATCATCATCAGTGGGGCTTTGGGGGCCACAACAAGCGCTGTTAGTCGACATCCATATTTGATTTCGTGCAGTTGGCAAGCCGTTGCTTGGTGATCGAGGGTTAACTGCAGGCCACGAGATCTGCTTCCAACTCCCAAAGCTCCCGTTGCTGTTAGCTGGTGCACGTTCTCGTGTTGCAGGCAACTCTTAGCAACCACGTTGATCTCCCTTTCTCAGCTTGACTCAGGCACTGCTTCTCAATTGTTTTCTGTTACGCCCCCCTCAGGAAGAACAAAACATTTCACCACCCCCACTCTCCCCCCGACTATAAATAGTATCACTGTCTATAAAATTGTTATTATAAGTACATC